AATATTCCGGAGTTACTATAGCGTAAACTTTCGTAATTATTACACCTACGTAATACTCCGAACTAATCGTAAGTTTATGCTCGCGTAAAAACTTGCGGAGGTTTACGCCTATTTATTTTTGCTGATGTAATAATACCTCACAATCAATAAAACCAACTCACAATAATTCAATAAATCTTAATTGTTATTATAGTATTACCAAATTTAAAATCTTACCATTCCAATTTCGGAATTTATTTTATTTTTTTTAGTTTTTATTTACTGCTCCACGCTTTAACTATATCAGTTGAAATATATTCAAAGCCTAGGCCTCCGCATGGGCCGGGACTACCCAACAGGTACCCTAAAGTTAGTATCACCAGGACTGGGCTTGGGCATTAAATTACAAGCCCTAGGGTAGAGTAGGGCTAAGAATCGCAAGCCCTTATATTATATAGGTAGGGCTTGGATACTGACACTACCCAGCTCATATACCTGTAGAGTAGCCTACTATACGTGCACATAACTACTCACCAATCAAAACTTATATTGATTGATAATCTTTTTTTTTTTTACTATATATATAGCATTTTTTTCGCTTAAGTACTGTAATAATATTTTTGATCAAAAGAAGAAAAAGCACTAGCCGGTTCACTTGTAGATAAAAGAGTTGAATACTTAACTTTATTGTAAGTTTGTTATATTAGGTGAATAGTTTTTATATAATTTCAAAATTCATATAAGCTTTTTTTTTTTTTTTAAGCATAAAAAACGCTCGCTTTATAATGCCCTTTGAGTGCAGTAGTTTTTTGTGGTAAAAATCTTTGATAAGAAGGAGAAAGAGTATTAGTCGATGCGCCTTGCAAAAACAATACTTTGAGAATTGATTAGTGAACTTTTTGTAAGTTTATTAGCAAATAATTTTTGCATAATTACAATATATACTATATATTAACATTTCTTTTTTTTTTATATGTTTAAAAACTTTTTATAAATTGTACTTTAACTTTATTGATAATATCTTCGATAAACAGAAGAAAAAGTATAGCTGATATACTTTGTACAAATAATATTCTAAAAGTATTAAAATTTATTATAAGTTTGTTTTATAAATATAGTAATTTATGATTTATAACTTTTTTTTTAAAAATTATCATAATACCAATGCTTTATTTTTTTTAGATAGCATTTATTAGACAGCAATTAATCTATAAACATGGATGATTTTGACGATTATGAGAATGAGATTTATGATCATAGGGTTTATGATGATGAGATGGATATTTTTGAGAATAATAATTATAATGGTGAAGTAATCGCTCCAAATGATTCTATCTCTGTATTGTCAGTTTCAGAGTCTTTAATTACCAATTCAAGTGCCAATCCAAGCACCAATTTAAACACCAATTCAAACACCACCAATTCAAGCACCAATTCAAGTGTTAATCTAAACACCACCAATTTAAGTGTTACTATTAACACTACTGAAACATCTAGTGAAACAGCTACATCAAGAAATAGATCCCCTGTATGGGAAAATTTTTCTATATTAGAAAGTGATCAAAAAGCCAAATGTAAACATTGTAAAAGACTACTTAGCCACAAAAAAGGAAGTGAAACATCTCACCTCCGATGCCACCTTAATTCTTGTATAAAGTATAAAAGGTTAAATACTAATGTTGCAAATCAAAATGGTCAAAATGATCAAAATGGCCAAAATGGTCAAACTTAACTAAGGTTTAATTCACCAATTAACCAACCAAATTCTGGAGACTCAAACCATAAAAACCTTGCATATATGATAGTTATGGATGAATTAAGCTTTCAGTTCATTGAAAAGCAAGGTTTTCAAAAATTTGTTAATGGAGTATTACCTGGTTTTACTATTAGTGCCGATACAATAAAACATGATATTATGAAGACCTATAATAAAATAAAGGCTTTGGTTAAATCAATTCTTCAAGATGCTGAAGGAAAAATCTCCCTTACTTGTGATACTTGGACATCACTTCAGCAACTTGGATATATGGCAATCACTGCCTATTTTTTTGATAAAAATTGAAAACTTATTTCAGTTTTATTATCATTCAAATTAATGCCTTATCCTCATACTGGAAGTAGTATCACTAATTGTATTAAAGATGTTATGGATAAATATTTTATTACTATTAAGGTAATTAGAATTAATTTCTTATATGTATATAATTATATAATATACTATATATATTATATTTATAATATTAAATAATAAAAATATATTTTAGTTGCAAACAATTACTCTTGACAATGTGGCTTCAAATGATGTTGCAGTTCGTGAATTAACTAATAATATTTTACAGGAGTTAATTGACATCAAAAATGAAATTTTTCATAATTGTTGTCTTGCTCATATTCTTAACCTTATTGTAAAAGATGAATTAAAGAAAATTTCAGAGAAAATCAAAATGGTACCTATTTATATATATATAATAATTTTAGATAATATTTAATAATTTAACATACTGTATTTACTATATATACTGTAGATTCGTAGTTGCATTAAAGCAATTCATACATCACCAAAACGACGCCAAATGTTTATTGATACTTGCGAATATGAGTCACTTAGAAGTATAATTCTCCTATTAGACTGTGAAACTAGGTGGAACTCAACATTTATGATATTACAATTAGCAATAAAATTAAAAGCTGCAATTATTAGAGTAAAAGATAGAGATAAAGCTTTTCTGGACGTACCAAATGAAGAAGAATGGGAAAAAGCAAAAGCTATTTGTAATATTTTAGAACCGTTCTACAGATATAAATATTAATAGAGTATTTTATATATTATTTGATGTATATAAAATTAGATTATATAGAGTTAACTTTTGTATTACAATATTCGAAATTGAACTATTTTAAAAAAAAGCTTTTAATAATTAAATTTATATATTACAAATAAAAAGTTAACTTTATATAACTTTAATTTTTTTTTTTATATATACAGTATATAATTTTTAATTTTCTTTATTTGCTATAAATAGGTATATTAAATGCATTAGCAAATTTTTATTCAACAATTAATCATACGCTTCTCTCTATTTTAGATATTCATACTCATATTTTTAAAATGAAATCTCATTCTGATATCTTTATTCGTAAAGTTAGCTTGTCTATGATTGAAAAATTCAATAAATATTGGGAAAATGGCAACTTACTATGTATGATTGCATACATTCTAGATCCTCGATACAAATTACAATTTATATCATTTTATTATCATAAAAAAGAAGAACAAGAACCAGATTATGTTGATGAAAAGGTACAAGATATTCGTACAAGGTAAATTATTACTAATTTACTAGTAATTTACAGTATATTACTTATTATTGATTAATTTATATTTTTGATAATTTAGTTTTAAAGACATTTATCTTAACTATTATTCTCCTTCGGTTCTTGAACAAAGTCCAACTAATACTGAAAACGCCACTAGTATCAAGAATAATGCTCTATTATATGAAGATTATATCGATGATTATTATGAATATGTGATGAAAAAAACAGACTAGTCAAGATATTTTTTGTGAATTTAAGCAATATATTAATGAGCAAGTTGCACCAAAAACTACTAACATTATCAAATAGTGGAAAAAAAATAATCGTTATCCAACTCTGGCTAAAATGGCGCGAGATTTCCTTGCTGTGCTAGCTACAAGTGTAGCTTCTGAACAAATGTTTAGTTATGCTGGTTGTATTATTGATGATTATCATACTTCATTAGATCCAGATACAGTAACTGCACTAGTATGCCAGCGAAACTGGTTAGAGATGGCAACAAAATTTGGATGAGACTTTTAATAATTTTAGATTAACCAAAAGTCGATAGTTTATTAGATATTACTTAATGTTTTCTAATTGTATTTAGAAAATAACAAGTTGCAAGATTTTCATAATAAAATTGTTAAAAAATGTGCTTATCAAAACTGAAATATACTTTTAAATTACTTCATAAATCAAATAATTATCATGAGGTATTTATGAGGTAATTTTATTAAATATTATTTATTAATTATATTATTCGTGATTTACTATTTATATTAATAATTTTAATATGCAATTGTGATGTAATATCAATCTTGATATATCAGCTTCTAAAAATTATAGAATTTAAAAGATTCAAATAACAACAATAAATTTGAGTTTTAATAAAATAAAAGCACTATTATTCTACTCAAATCAAATGTTTTTGCTATTCATTTTTTTTTCATAATCTTTAGTTTCTAAATTACTAGTTTGAACTCAAAAAAATATATTTACATTCTCTTACTGTTATAGAATAATGGCAACTCATCAAAGTTCTAATATAATACACTATATCGATATAGAAAAAAATATTGATACATACATACTATTCCTTAAACTACTAATTCGTTAATTATAATTCAATAGCCAGACTATGAGATTTTTGGCGAATTTGCTTGGAAAAGTTTAATATTAAAAAAAATAAATCCACTTCATCAGATCTTTAAATAGTTCATCTCATAATCGTGTTCACAAAATTGAAATATATACAAAAGCAGGAAATTTATATAGTAAACCTGTATTTCTGAGCAAAAATTCGAATATACTTTTAGTTACAAGTGTGAATTTAAATCTATATTAGTCACATAATACATATTACAAATCGGGTATACTATCCCCAGTATCTAATTATTTAAAAATTCTAATATTTTAAGTATTAAACACATATTAGCATCAAGCCCGTGGGTACTCACGGGCTTTAGGGTATCAATTTTGGGGCCCTAGGGTAAGAGTAAGGGCTTGAAGATTAAGCCTATTAGTAAACGGGTAGGGCTAAGGTATTACTACTACCTGGCCCTACCTGGCCCATGCGGAGGCCTATCAAAGCCTACCGGAGCAAAGCGTTAAAATTTCAAATTTTGATTATTATTGTGTTCTAATCAAAGTCTATAAACTTATTTTAAATCTAAGCTCTGCCCCATATAAATAGATTCTTTAAAACCTACTATAACAATGTATTAAATAATTACTTATCATCTCAATTGTTTCTATAAAATATTAAAATATACTTATTGATGAAATTGCATAAATTATCTTAACTCTAAGTCTGATTGCATATATTAAATCATAATCAAAATCTACCAGAACAACACGATGAGATAATTAATTCCAATCTCAAATCCTAAAAGATCGTAAGATATTATTATTATCGAAAATCTATAGAATTAATTTAGACCCAAGCCTAATCCCAATAACCAAAAATAGATTAAAATCATAATGCAGCACCGCAAAATACATAAAATCCTTGCCTATTAACTCTTAATTATCGACGTCTAATTATTGTCAAAAAAAAACTATTTAAGCTTTTATTTTTGCTCTTGATTCATATTTTATTTCCTTATACACTAACTTAATTAAAAATTCAACTTATCTTTTTGTTAATCTTCAATTTTTACTTCTGTATTAGTATAAACTTTATCTTTTCATTCTCTTGTCTATTTACTCTTTTTTACAATAGCTGAATTGTCTCAAACACTAGAAGAATATCAAAAAGAGCTTTCCCATAGGAGACAAAAGCGATTTAGAGATAATAAAAATAATGATACCTCTTAGTTCACTATTGTTGACTCTGAAGAACTCAAATGATTATTTACTATTGAAGTGTCAACAGTTATAATTGAGCCTCTTATTATTAGTACTGCTATCCAAACTAATCTATTTCGCCAACCCCAACCCCATCACATCAAGACAACACATCATGATATCGGAAATATGGATCAAACCTGTAGACATTGCAATGCTAAATTTTAAATATTAGAAAAAGATCAAAATAGTAGTCTTGCTTCTCCAAAATTTCTCCTTTGCTATACCAATAGCAAAGTAAAATTGCTATCTTTATTTGAACTACCACAATACTTACTAAATCTATATATTCTTAAATATTAAAAAAAAAAAAACAAACTAAATCTATATATTTCAAATACACCTTTTGCAACTGAATTTTGAAAAAATATTAGAGGCTATAACAATGCTTTAGCCTGCACGTCTTTTGGTGCTAATGAAGACAACCAATTTTTGAGACAAGGCATATCGAATTTTCGAATTCATAGCCAAGTATACTATCTCATCGGGCCCTTGTTACTAGAAGAAGGTCACCCTCTAGCTTTTGCACAACTATATATCTATGATACTGCGCATGAAGTTGAAAATCATTACAGCATTATAGATGGCTTAAATAATGATATTTTACAAAATTTACAGAATATGCTAAGCAAATGCAACTCTTATATTCAAAAATTTTACAAAGTAAGAAACATTTTTCAAGAAAATGAAACTAATACAATTTTAATGATAATTCATAGCAATTAAACTCATGACCCATGTTACTATAATGCACTAATAGCCTATGAAGTAGCTGTAATTATGGTAGATAATGGTTATGAGATAAATTCAACCAATAGAAATATTCTTCTTAGATTGTGCAATGGGAGTTTGCAGAGAATATCAGAGTGCCATTCCTTGTATGATCCACTCCACTATGTTCTATTTCTCTCTGAAGGCGATGATGGTTGGCACTAAATATACCTCTTATAAATGCTATAAAAAGAAAAAATGTCACACCAATACAATTTTACTCCTATAAATTGCAATTAAAGGCAGTGATTGGATACAACATGCTGGCCGTTTGTATCAACAGTATATTGTTGACCAATATGCTAAAATAGAACAAAATCGCTTAATTTACCTTAAACAAAATTAAAAATCACTCCAAACTGAATTATATCAAGGTGTTATGGACGCATTACATGCTGGTGATAGTAGTATAGATGTTGGTCATCGTATAATTCTTTCATCATCTTTTACTGCCAGACCCCATCGAATGTATCAACTATATCAGGATGCAATGACTATTATAACTCACTATGACAAATCTAATCTTTTTATAACTTTCACCTGTAATCTGAAATGGCCAGAAGTTACAAGAGAATTACTACCCCATCAAACCTCTGCTAATAGGCCCAATCTAACAGCCTGTATGTTTAATATAAAATTGCAAGCTCTATTAAAAGATCTATGCAATAATTATTGGCTTGATAAAGTTATTGCATATATATCTCTTAAATTGTAACACAGGCAAATTTGCTTGCGAAGATTTTTACTAATTTTTTTAATATTTAAATTTTTTAATAAAAT